ATTTGTCTAATGTTAAACCCAATATATCTACCTTTAATGAAACCATTTTGATCTGTGTTAATTATTTTTGGAAGTGTATGTTTTAATCTTTCGGCCAAACATCGCGCTAGAATTTTGTAGTCTACATTGAGTAATGTTATTGGTCGCCAGTTTTTTAAATTAAGGGGATCGTCTTTTTTATAAATTAAAGAAAGGAAACCCTGTCGTTGAGATTTTGTCAGTTCTGTTTTTCTGTAACTTTCATTAATACAAATTATCATGGTGTTTTCCAGGTATGGCCAAAAACTCTATGTAGAATTCTACCGTTAATCCATCTAGTCCTGGCGATTTATTCAGTTTCATATTGTTTATTGCATTTTTTATTTCTTCAGCTGTAACAGGTCCATCACAGGTTTTGCTTTCATCTTTTTTCAATATTTTATCAAATGGCGTATTTTCAATGTAGTTATTTAACTTTGTTGAGTCTATATTATTTGTGGTATATAGTTTCTCATAAAATTGTTTCAGTCTTTTCAGAATATCATTTTGTTTTGTGAGTATAGTTTCATCTTCATCTTTTATTTTTGTTATTGATTTTTGTGATTGACGGTTTTTTTCTAATGAAATGAAATATTTTGATTTTTTTTTCACCTTGTTCTAGGCATTTTGTTATAGATCGAATTTGTGCGCCTTATGCTTTTCTATTATATGCGTTTTCTAATTTAGTTTCTAATTCATTTATTGTATCACTGTTTTCATTATATGATAGTTCATGTAGTTCTTTAATTACATTCTCTATTTTTGTAATTTCATTTTTCACCTCCGTAGCCATCTTTTTACTGAATGTAATAGATTCTTCTTTTATTTGTATTTTACATATGTCCCATGCTGTGTGAATATCCATGTTGTTTTTATTTTAGTGTTGCAAGTTTTAATAATCTCTATTATATATTTTTTGTAGTCAATATTACTTTTGTTAAATTTCCAGTATCCAGATCCCCTAGATGTATTTGTATTATCAAACATTATTGACACTGCTAGATGATCCGTTGATTTTATCATGGCTGGACGTATATCAGTCTATATCATCTTTGGAGGTAAATCCCTTGATATTAAAAAATAATCTATTCGGCTTGCTTCCCTGTTTGTATTTTTTCTCTTCGCCAAGTAAATTGTTGTTTGTCTGGATTTTTGTATCTCCACATATCTACTAAATTCAATTCCTTTTTCATTGTTTTCAGATTATGCACACAGTTTTGAATTTTGTTTACTGATTTTCTGTCTATATTATCTTGTATGTCATTCCAGTCACCTCCGATGACTATGAATCCTTGGTTGAAATCTTCTACTTTGGTTTTGATTCTCTTATAGAAAGTGTTTCTTTGGTGTTTGTCATTTGGGGAATAAATGTTAACTATTGTAAAAATGTTTTTATTTAGTTTAAGTATTAATGGATATGTGATATCGCATTTTATCGATAATTACCAGAAAATGGAAGGATGGGAGATAATACCTCTACTACGGCTGGGGAAATCATGGAAGGGTTGATTGTCAATTGACAATTGAAACTGCATAGATCATTTAAAATATATACGTCTTAAAGTCGATAGTAAAAAAATAAATCGAAGCTGTTTCTGAACCTCTCGTTGACGAAATAAAGCATTGTTCATAATGTAGCGAACTTTAATTATTTAATTGTGGAGTTAGCCTATAAAGTGAAGGTGCAAATAACATTTTAAAATATTGTATAGAAATAATAGAAATACCACATGTAAAAAGTATGTATTATTTAAGGATTTCATTTTGCTTTGGTCGATTTCATGGGGTGATGAATTGAGTTGGTCTTGAAACAAATTTAATGAACTGCGAAACACCTCAATTCATCACCCCATGCCATCGAACAAAGCAAGATTCAATCCTTATATTTCAATCAACGTGGGTTTTTTCCTCAATAATTGGAACTTGTGAAGTCCATTCTGATCGTTTGTCCCAGGTTCTGGAGTTTGTGCAAGTCTACGTTTTGACGTAATGTAAATAAACTATAGTCCGTCATTGACGGACCATCATACAAAGGGATGGTATACGTTGCTATTTCAATACAGCAAATTTATATGAAAACAAAACGCAAAACCATATTTTAAAAGCCATACTTAATTTTTTGTTGATAAATTCATAAGAGATCAAATTTTCTGTTGCGCTATCGCGGAAGAATATTGCCTAGACGCAGTGCACAGGCTCAGCTGTGAGTCTAAGGCAGTCATATTTTTACTAGCTCGAAATGGAGAGCCGCTTAATTTCGAGGTTCTACATTTTCTGGAATGTGAAGCTGAAGTAATTGAATGTCGAATTAGACAGGAAACCAGATGTGGCTTGAAAGGACGAAACATTTGATATGACATTTGGTTGTTCGACGGTATTTTGAATATAAGACGGGACCACATGGATCTACCACAGGGGTTCGTTACAAATGTCTGAAATACATATGCTATACTTATATAGGTCACAGCACACATAAACATACATTTATACACATATGCTATACTGATATGGTCACAGCACTCATAAACATACATTTGTATGTAAACGAACCCTTGTGGATCTACGTTGTTTTCAATTTGTACCGAGGGTTGATAATACACAAGGCAGAATGGGTGGGTGATTTGGTCCTTTTTTCTGGTAAAAATAACCGTTTCAGGTTTTGAAGCATTAAATTTAAAATCCCACCTTTTGCCAATGTACTTATATTCTGAAGATCTTTTGTGAGACTTTCTGCTGCTTGGATTGGATTATTATCAATAATCATGTATAAAAGGTATCATCAGCAAATGATTTAATTTCATTATTATCTAGATCTAGTATAACATTAATGTAAAATAAAAATAAAAAGGGTGTAAGAATTGATCCCTGAGGAACTCCAGCATTAGCAGTAATTATATTTGAAAAGTGGCCTTTTGTAAACACTCTTTCAAATAAATTGTCTTTGAACCAAGAAACAATATTCCTTTTATTCCATACGACGCTAGTTTGAATATAAGACCATCATGCCATACCGATTTTCCAATTCCCAGGATGTTGTGTTTTTGCCACTTTCTATTGTTTAATTAAATAACAATTGTAGAGGTAATGAAATGGAGGAATGAGCTGTTTAATATTTTTTGGAATCATCTCATCTGGACCAGGCGGTTTTTTAACAATAAGGATTTGTGACTGATCTAACATATCTTGCTCAGAAGTAAACATATTATCTAACTTAGAAGGACAAAGGGAGGTAATTGTTCACTTCATATAATCTATGCAAGTACTTACAATTCTTATTATACGTTTTTGTATCGTAACTTTGGCATGCATTGTAAAACGCAATGGTACAAATGTTATAAACGTTTGATAATTCAAAGGTTGAACATTTTATGTTTAAAAAACATAAAGGTACAACAGGTCCACTATAGGAATATAGCTGGAGGGTGCAGTAGCTCTCCTCCTCCCCCTCCCCCACACACATCTATTGTTAGTTCATTACAAAATGTAACATGTATCCGCCTTTGAGGGTATATATCAGCGAGGTAAACTATTGTTGCAGGGGACGTCCTCTATTAAATAGCAGCCAACATCCCAGCTAACATGCGACGTCCGGTATTTTTTTGTTTTGACATTTTTGTATCATGAAGAACATGCCATATTTTACTATATGACAGATCAGAAAATAAGTAGAATTTAATTATTTTAGAGGTTAATAAAAAGATGCTTCCAATGTATATCTGGAGTTGTTTCTTACCATTTTAAATGTATATAACATGTAAAACCTTAAAAGCACACCATACACAGAGAATAGTGTTAATTGTATGAAATTATACAAATGTCGTTTATTGTATGTTAAGAAAGAGTTGATCTATCTTATAAGATTTAAGTTGTTACGAATGGAAGAGTTATTTGGAATTCTTTCTTTTCGGATATATGTTAGCTGCAGGAATGACGATGTTTTAATGGAATAAACTTTATAACTCTAAAATAGCCATGTTGATTCCTTAAATAGGTTTGGCTTAAAACGTTGTATGCTATGTACTCAAATATATCTACCCTATAGTGAAATATTTCATAATATACATAATAATCATTTCAGTCCTTGGTTCTAATAGTTCAAAATAAAATGAAGAAAAGAAATAAGCAAAAATATCACAACAACAAAAATGATTCACAATTTCTATTTGATTTTATTTGAACTAAAAATTCACATGCATATTTATTCATATATATATGGTTAGACATAGGGTACATACGTACTGTTAGTTTTAGTCTTTCATAGAATATTCCAATTTCGCATTTTTTCAATATTCCTTAATGAAACACGCCATCTCGAGTTATATTTCAAAAAATGTTCAATTAGCATTGTTATAGATGTGTCTTTATGTCAGCATCAATGTCCTATATTTTACGGCAAAATGTTTAATTAGTCAAACAATGAAATATTGATATCGTTAAGCAGCACAGCTGTTACACGTTCCGGGTAATAATCACAGTTCTTACATCCCACTTGTTTCTCCTTAGTATTCGCCGCATCTGTTTTACACAACCTGGTTGAGCTCATCGGAACGTGTTGTCTGTTGCCTGTTATGATTCTCTCATTCGTGTTGCTCCGGCCCCGGTAGGATACCACACTTAGCATTTCATTGTGGTTATTAGAAGGAATCGTTATGCCATCAGTGTTCACTCTGTCTCTAAAGTCTCCATTCACTGGACCGTCTGGAATAGCCAAACAGTCTGAGGTGGGACATTGCCCAACTTGTTAGTGATCATGCGGAGATGGTTTGCACGTTTTGCATGCATTGTTTGCTTTTGTAAACGATGAGAAGTCGGATTTTGCTTTAACATTTTCTTGTGTCATATTGCATATACAGTTCATTTTTTTAACATTTTGCGATGCATTAAAAATAGTAGATAGTCCCATTTTGGCTACAGATCGTCCCTGCCTATCTTCAATGGTAGTATCCGCGCCATGTTTGAGTAAATATAGGAAGATCTTATACCTGGCAGAAGATGTGTCGATGGTTGGTGTGGAAGACGTGTCCAATTCCAAATAAGCCTTCATCAGAGGAGTTTGTCCATTTTTGTTGACGGTGTTTATATCAGCTCCTCCGTCCACATTAATCTTCACTGGTTTATACTGGCCCTTCATTATAGCCCTGAACAGAAGTTTGGAGGTGGCTCTGTCATCCATTCTTCTAGTTTGATATTCAGTTAGCGATGAAGCGAGAAAACTGTGAAATATTTAAGATGATATCACAATTTATAACTAATTTTTGCGATGACGTAGTGTGCTATGCTATGCGTTATTCACAGATTTGTATCATTTGCTCAGCGTATCGGGTTACAGAGATGGTTCTGACAGGCACATGGTATACTGACTCTAATATGTTGTTGATAGCTTTCTTTTCCTTTGGAACACGATTGGTTGAAAATTAAATATAAAGGACTGTTGGTTTTATGTTTGTGTATTCCACGTGACTCTGGATAGTATATATAGTACAAAATTGAACATCTTGAACGAATAACAAAAATCACCCAGACATACTGCTCACATACAATATAGCCTTTGCATACAGTCTGTCGATTAAATTGCTTCCTTGCATGCTGTCCAGACAAGGACAAGGAATCTTTGAACATTATCAAGAGTCTCAAGGAAATGTGTTCTGTGTTTTGATATTTTGTCCACCAAAACATTCTCAATAGACGCATGAATGGCCAGTGAAGTGTAACGCACCAAGGTTTTGGGGCGTTGCGTTCCGTCTAATTCACCGACCAGCAGGAATCCTTAAAATTATACCGGCCGCTACCGGAAATAATCAACGGGGCTTCTGGGATAGAGCACTTTTGTTCCCGACTTCAGCCAGGTAAGCAGCACTTTTTCAGCTGTCTAAATCCAATGATTTAATTACTCTATGTCGCCCATCCTTCCAGAATTCGGGGTTGTAAACGTTTACTGAACATTTATTGTTAGGTTTTTGGTCGTATTTTTGTACTATGGCGTTAGTTTAATAGGGAAATAGCGAGGTGAACTTAGAGATATTTTTGCGGGAGACATGCCGGTCGTCATACCGTTTGAAGGAGAGATGTTATGCATTCTCCGCCCTTTATGTTCTGGGCATGCCGTGGTTGTGTCTATGAGCGGTAGGCTCCTCTAGCCCATATGAAGGCGTGTGGCGGAGCGTAGAAGGGTTAACGGAAAAGCTATTGAGCGGAAGTGATAGCCGCATGTCCTCGTGCACGTGTTTGAGTTATCTCGAGGAGGGCTTTAGGATTAGTGATAAGGTAGCTTGCTCGAATATAGAGCGAGTACGAGTTATAGACAGGGTCATGTTGTACTGAATATTTCACTAAATTGTAGTGAAACTTAGAAACCCACCTGCCGCCACGTGTCTTGTTATACTGTTAAGTTTGAATGTACAATAAACGTGCGAAATCTATATCTGCCTAAGTTGTTTGTGTCACCGATCTCTGCTTCCTAAATACTATTTCATACTTTATTTACAATCCATGGAACCTGCAAGCGAAAGCGGCAGTCGAACCCGAGTGTGTAGGTAACGTTTCGTTACAATTGGCGCCCACGTAGGGACCCAGTTCGTTACAGAAGTATGTACAAATCGTTTATCAAATTCCTCTTGTTATTGCTAGTATGAACATATACGATTCTGAGACTGATGCTTTAATCGTTCACTTTAGATACGACATGCTAAAACTCATAACACTGACTCCTACAGGTGCTTTTTTTACGTGTTTGTTTAACGTTCATTATTGTTGGACACATTGGTGATGCCAAAGGCCTAGACGGCAGAAATTCTTAACCGATTTACACTTAAATCAATGTAAAAAAGTGAGAAAAACTGATGTGTCGACAACTGAGTGGAAAATGCTGCCTTTTTATTTTCGAGTAGGATTAGACATTAAACAGTCCATGTTGATATTTTGTGTTGTATGATAGTATTATAAGCGATTCTACACATTTCCTTTAAAAACATCTTCCGTCTGATGGCCATGACACCGTCTCGGATGGGAATCATCACCTGTCCAAAATGCAACAGATTGGTGTCAATAGCCAAACATATGATGAATTTTCCACAGCTATGGTTAATGGAAGTATACTGGACAGAGAAATGACTTAATGTAGTATAATTACAAAATAAAGTTATTGTATACTAGAGTAGCCTATAATACCTTACTGCAGTGAAAGACATAGGGCAGTAGTCATCATTACCAAAATAATGTGAACATTAAATTTAAACTGAAGACGATGTTTTAAGAGAGTTTAAAAAGTAAACATAACTATGGATGATGATTTTATATTTATATTCTCAGAAAATTGAGAAGGAGTTACTTTAGTAGCATTAAACACAAAAATAAAAATATATCGGAATTAGTAAATTATTTATTTAAAACTGTTTTCATTGGATAATCTGTATGTTTCGGATATTTAAAACAAATTTTGCAGAAGGCTACTTGATTATTTTAATAATACAAATTACTCAGATAGGGGTATATAATTTATTCACTATCATTGAGAGAGCGACCACCACTTTCTTTCTGAAGTAACAGTGTTAAATGGTAACACATGTTCAGAGTGTCACATGCGTCAATAGACAACCTTTCTGAAAAGCCTCCATGTTGATCTGCTGTAAATCATCACTGGTGAGAGGCCACCTGCCTTGATACATTATTCTCCAGTTTGAATACGCCGATTGTAAACAAGTAGATTTATTCTCTAGTTGAAACATCAATTCTATGTGAATGAAATCCTTCTTCAAGTTAAAATCCTGCTAAGCCAATGTCTGCCTGAACCATGCCATTTGTTTTTAATAATAATCATGGTAACAGAGATGCTTTACTGATCTGTATCACAATCCACCTCTATGGGGTAGGGGAGAGAACTCCCATAACGCATAACTTCAATTAACGAGTCACTGCGTGGCATCGTCGGATACCCACGGTTGATTTCGCTTCGGTACTCACTCATCACCCGTGGGCAAACTCGCCGAAAAAACGTCGTGGGTAATTAATATGCGCGGATCTAGTACAGTTCCTCGATGGAAACAGAATTCGCGTTCGGATGTGCGTGAAAAACTACATTTAGATCAATTAAAGCCATTTCAAGAGGAAACAATAACCCAGCTGTTGACAGGTCGAGATTCCTTTTTTTGTCAATCAAATCAGGAGGTGGCAAACGTATTTGCTATGAAGGTTTTCAGCCAATGTGGACGAAAATTAACGGATGCGAATACAGTGTGCTTGTCGTTTGCCATTGATTTCTATTATGAAGGGATAGTGTGAATACCTTGTATCATGTAATTTTACAGCTACGTACATTGGTAAAGATTGTAACGAAGACATAGACATTTTAAATGGATGCTTCTAGTTCCTATTTGCCTCATCCGAATCCATTTTGTCAGTGAATAAGTGGAGGGACATGCTGGCCGCTAGTAAACACTTCGAACTGTTTGTTGTTGACGATGCACTTACGATATTTCATTGGTAAGTAAATTTTAATGTTCACACGCAGAAATCACGAAATTCTGTCTGACCTGTTGATTCATTTTAAATTAGTAAATCAGTGCTTTTTAATAATTTGTTTTTAATTTGAAAAAGTTTAATAACGAAAACTTTTTACCAAAAATTATCGTACACTTTCCTATATACTCAAAAATACATCATTGTTATTTTTGTTTTTACAGGATGTGTTAATTACGTTGATCAAAAAATGGCATATCTTTATGATAAGTCAATAGTTTTTAATGTGTAGAATGCATAAAAGTACAAAAGGTTCAAGAGATGGCTGGATAATGCAGACGCCCCCCCCCCCCCCCCCCCCCCCCCATACACACACAAACACACAACATCGATAGATAATTTGTGCCAAAAAGTTACACGTTTCCTGTAACATACTGAATTGAACTAAATGATTGGAATATAACGATTTTAGTAAGTCGTCCAAAAGATGCTTCAAAGGTATGGTTAAAATTGTTTCTTCCTTCTATATCAGACATAACTCTACGAATTAAAATTAAATGAAGAAAAGAGCAAAACGTATTATAAAGGTAAAAGCGTGCAACATGGACAGTAGACATTCACAAATCTGCTGATGCATATATTTCTTGGATATCAGTAAACCCAGCTTTAAAACCTTAAAGCAAACAATATACACGGACTAGTATTACACATCTCTGTTAATTGTTAAAAGTATAAACAAATCGTTAATTGTGTGTTAGGAAAGAGTTTGATTTTCTTAACAGATTAAATGGTAACGAATGGCAAATATATTTTGGGCTATTTCATCGCGGGTTAATGTCAACTGAAGGACTAGTAATGTTTTATTAACATATGCTTTACAACTCCAAAGTAATTTTGATAATTCCTTTAATAAGTGCCGCTTAAAATATTGTATGCCGTGTACCCTTAAGCGTATGATTGTTTGATATATAGATCAGATATTATTGTATTTAGCTAGCATATATTATTAAATTATCACCCTATGATTCTAATAGCTCAAAACAAAATGAAGAAGTAAAACAACAACAAAAGTTTCAAAGTTTCTAGTTTTTATTTGAACTAAAAATGTATATGCATATACTTTTGTTCATATAAATTATCTACATAATCTACATACGTACTGTTACTGCTAGTGTATTATAGAATATCCAACTTTCGCCGATATTCCTTAATGCAACACGCCATTTCAAGAAATATTTCACACAATATTCTATAAGCGTTATTATAGGTGTCTCTATATGTCAGCATCAATGTCCTGCATTTCAAGGCAAAATGTTTAATTAGTCAAACAATGAAATGCTGATATCGTTAAGCAACACAGCTGGTATACGTTCCGGGTAATAATCACGGTCCGTACATCCCACTTGTTTCTCCTTAGTATTCGCCGCATCTGTTTTACACAACCTGGTTGAGATCCTCGGAACATGTTGTCTGTTGCCTGTTATGATTCTCTCGTCCGTGTTGCTCCGGCCCCGGTAAGATACCACACTTAGCATTTCATTGTGGTTATTAGAAGGAATCGTTATGCCATCAGTGTTCACTCTGTCTCTAAAGTCTCCATTCACTGGACCGTCTGGAATAGCCAAACAGTCTGAGGTGGGACATTGTTCAACTTGTGAGTGATCATGCGGAGATGGTTTGCACGTTTTGCATGCATTGTTTGTTTTTGTAAACGATGAG